CAAAGTCTCACCATTCTGGTTTCAAAGGAACATCCTAGCTGTACTTTTCAACACAGATTTGTTTGTTCTCTGGTAGTCCATGGTACCTTCAATATTATTCTACAACACTATAACTCAAGTGCATGAATTTTTCTCATGTTTTCTATAATCATTGTACTTCTCTCAAATGCATATGAGGCAATTGAAAATACCATGACTTGGAGCAAGCACACATTCAACCTCAAACTGTTATGTTTGCTATTGAACAGTTCAAAGAGGTCTTGTGCAGCAGGTTTTCCTAATGTAATATGTCATTTGATTTCTTGACTGCTGCTTCCATGAACACTGATTGGTTTGTTGTTGTTGTTAGGTGCGATTAAGTTGGTACCGACTCATAGCGACTTATGCACAGCAGAATGAAACACTGCAGGAGCAAATAATCTGAGAAGGTGGATTATATGAAGAAAAATGAGGCATCAAGATTGGGGAAAAACTTACTAACAATCTGCGATATGCAGATGATACAACCTTGCTTGCTGAAAGTGAAGAGGACTTAAAACATTTACTGATGAAGATCAGAGAGCACAGCCTTCACTATGGATTGCATCTCAATTTCAAGAAAACAAAAATCCTCTGGACCAATAAACAACATTCTTATCAATGGAGAAAAGATTGAAGTTGTCAAGGACTTCATTCTTCTTGAATCAACTATCAACACTCATGGAAGCAGCAGTCAAGAAATCAAGCAATGTATTGCATTAGGCAAATCTGCTGCACAAGACCTTTTTAAAGTGTTGAAGAACAAAGATGTCAGCCTGAGGACTAAGATGCACCTGACCCAAGCCATGGTGTTTTCAATAACCTCATATGCATGTGAAAGCTGGACAGTAAATAAGGAAAACCATAGAAGAATTGATGCATTTGAGCTTTGGTGTTGGAGGAGAATATTGAAAGTGCCATGGGCTGCCAAAAGAACCATCAGGTCTGTGTTGGAAGAAGTGCAGCCAGAGTACTCCTTGGAGGCCAAGATGGCCAAACTTCATCTCTCATACTTCGGACATATTGTCAGGAGAGACCAGTCCCTGGAAAAGGATATGTTTGTTAAGGTGGAGGGTCAGAGAAAAAGAGGAAGATCCCCCAACGAGATGGATTGGCCAAGTAGCAGCATCGATGGACTCAAGCGTTGATTATATGTCCAAGCAAAATGAAGTATTTGACAAATTCAGTCCTTTATCCATTTATCATGATGTTATTTGTTTTTCTAGGCTTTTTGTTTTTCTTTATATTAAGAGCTTTCAATCCGTACGAAGGCTATAGTCTTTGATCTTCATTAATATTTTAAGTCCTCTTCACTTTAAGAGTGTAAGGTTGTTTCATCTGCATATCACAGGTTGTTAATGAGTCTTCCAACAATTCTGATACCAGTTTCTCAGATCATTTACTCAGCATACAGATTGAATAGGTGAAAGAATACTCACCTTTTCTGATTTTAAACCATTCAGGGTCCCCTTGTTCTGTTCAAAACGACTGCTGCTTGGTCTATGTCATGATCCACAGTTGAAAAACTTTCCATTGTCAATAAAGCACAGGTAAACATCTTTCTGGTATTCTCTGCTTTCATCTAAGATCCATCCACATTAGCAGTAATATCCATAGTTTCATTTTTTCTTTCGAATCCAGCTTGACTTTCTTAAAACTCCCTGTTGTTGTACTGTTGCAGCCATCTTTGAAATACCTTTAGCAAAATTTTACTTGCATGTGATATGAATGATATTGTCTGATGATTTCCTCATATGATTGGGTGACCTCTCTTTGGAATGAAGAAAAATATGGATCTCTTCCAATCAATTGACCAGGTAGCGATCTTCCACATTTTTTGGCATAGATGAGTGAGAGCCTCCAGTCGTTGAAACATTTATATTTGTATTCCATCAATTCCAAGAGCCTTGTTCTTTGACAATGCCATTGGTGTCACTTGGAGTTCTTCCTTCAGTACCATTGGTTCTTGATCATATGCTACCTCTTGAAATGGTTGAACATTATGTAATCTTAATATTAACATTAGATAATGCTAACCATTACATAAGAAGAAATAAACACTGCTTGCCAGTGTGGTGCTTTGGATTTACTTGATATGGAGACCTGGTCTCCACATTATTTTTGTAGCCAGCTAGTTCATATTGGAGACCTGGTGTGGAACTCTGTTTAATGGCTTTTCATGGGAGAAGAACATAAAGGAAGCTCCCCTCCCCACCCAAAAAGGAGGCCATGAACAAAATACCTGTTGAACTTTGTCATAAAGCATTTAGCATTAAGAAGGCCTGGTGGAGTGATGGTTAAGCACTTGGCTGCTAACCAAAATGTCTAGGCTTGACCTCACCAACCACTCCATTCTGAGGGAGAAAGCCCCAGTGATGTCCTCCCCTAAAGATTACAGTCTGTGGGTCAGAATTGACTCAACGACACTTAACAACAACAGTAACACCTATTTGTAGCTTGGAGGCAGAATCCTCTCTCTAAAAAACCTTCAGTATTGCTCTAAAGGTCTTCAACTGATTGGCTGAGGCCCACCCACATTATGGAGAATAATCGCTTGCTTAAGGCCAACTGATCTAAATGCTAATTACTTGTAAGTATTTCTTAGCAACATCTAGATTAGTGTTTGACTAAATAACTTGGCACCAGAGTCTGGTATGACACTGTATGGACTGTATGGACTGCTAACCACAAGGTCAGTGGTTCAAACCCACCAGCTGCTCCTTGAAAACCCTGTACAGGGTCACTATGAGTCTATGGCATTTAACAATGATGATAGTCTAGCCAAGTTGGAACATTAAATTACCATTACAAGTTCTGACCCATTTCATTACCCTTCACATCCAGTTTATGAGAAAGTATACTCATTTTGACCTTCAAAATAAATCTTGAATTTGTCCACTCTTAATAACCAAGTCCAAGTTACCATCTCCTTTTGTCAAACTAAGACATCAAACTCCTCCCTACTATTGCTGTTGCGTCTTAAGGAAATGGTCTTCTCGTAGCAGCATTTTCCAGTCCATCTTTACCAATCCTTCTCTCTGAGGAACTCCATTGCCGTCGTGGGCCCTCTTGGTCAACAAACAGGATGTCCCACGTTGGCAACTGAATCCCTTCTGAAGATAATGCCCAAAGCAAGCTGGCTGGATAATGCTCTGCTGGGACCCATATGGTTTTCACTGGTTAATGTTCAGAAGTAGATCACCAGGTCTCTTGTTCTAGTTTGTTGTCATGTGGAAGTTCACTGAAAGCTGCTCACTGTGGGTGACCCTGCTGGAGTTGACACATGGGCAGCACAGCTTCCAGGATCACAGCCACCCACAAGCCACCACATTGTGATAAACTGACAGACGGGTGATGAAAACAGCAGCAATGTTGTCGTTAGCTATCACTGAATTGGTTCAAATTCATGGTGACTTTCTTGTTGTGTGTGGTCAAGTCGGTTCCAAGGAGTGGCTGATAGGTTTGAACTGCCAAATTTGTAGTTAGCCGTCCAATACTTATCCTACAGAGCCACACCAGGACTTCTTTAAATAACAATAAACCAGCACCAAAGTAGTCCTAAAACACAAGAACCCCCCAGCATCAATGCCTTGCATATCATTCAATGGGTATCAACCCCATTATAGGTGGGAGACAATAAAAAAAATGTTTAGCATGGTCTGCAAGGTACCCCCTCCTTACCTATCTAAATTATTTTATGCCATCTCCCGCCTACCTCTCCAAGTCTATTTTATGCCCTTTCATCAGCTGTTCTGGCCATCTGATAGAGCCTAAAACATAGCAAGAGTTTATTTCTCTTGTTGTTGTTGTTAAGTGCTGTCGAGTCAGTTCCAACTCATAGCTACCCTGTACAGAGTTTCCAAGGAGCGGCTAGTGAGCTTGAACTGCTGGCTTTGCAGTTCAAACCGACCGACCTTGTAGTCCACACCCAGACCCCTTACTTCTCCTAAGGCCTTCAAATTGCTGTTTCCTGTGCCTACTTATGCTACTTTTTGCTTTCTGTTGTTCTTGTTGATAATTTTGACAAGTTACAAACATATAATGTAACAAACACCTATGTACCTATCACCAAAACTATTAACTCTTGATATTTTTATATTTTTCTTCCTATTTTACTATAAAAATAAATAACAATACAAAGTTCAAGCTCCTTTTGTTCATCTCCTAATGTTTAGTTCTCCTTCCTCAGAGACGGAAATGAGTATTGTTTGTTCCCACCCTGCATCCATTCATTCATTCCTTCTTTCTAACTCAAGCTTGATTTGGCTCAGGTACTCAACAATACTCACAACCTCCTCCCTCACCTCACATCCTTATGTTCTTCAGAGAAAGCCCTTTATTTTTAACCCTCCTGGGTGTTGTACGTGGTCAAATGCTAGTCTGCTAACTAAACGGTTGAAGGCTCAAGTCTATACAGAAGCTCTATACAGAAGTCTATACAGAAGAAAGACCTAGCAATCTACTTCTCCCCAAGTCCCCAACCTGAAGACCAGTTCGACTCTGGATCCCTGAAGTTGCCATGAGTTGGGGTCGACTCAGCTGGCTTATATCATGAAGACTATTACAGCAGTTCTGGAGGTTCCTACCCTCAGTCCTTCCCTCAGAAGGTGTCTTTAGGGAATTGGGCTATTTGAATTTGAAGTCATAAACTAAATGGTATTCTTATGTGTTCAGTGTTCTATATCATCTGCTTTTCTTATGCAGAGCTGTCTGCTCTAAAGGAAAAACACCCTCAACATCAGAAACAGAAGGAAGTTTCCCTACTCCTCTCCACCCCAAAACAGAAAGAAAACTATTTTTCCTCCTATATATGACTTTTTTGTTAGTACACTGTTTCATTGAAATTGTGAATGTGTGTGTGTGTATGTGTTCAAACTCAGTGCTATGAAAGAATGACTTAAGGTTAAGCTTCGGACTCTGAGACATAAAATGTTTTAAACAATCATTCCAACCTGACCTTTCCTTCTCCTCTCTGCCTGCAGGCTGCGGCATGTTGACTTTCCTGTCCTCTGTCACAGCTGCTGTCAGTGGTCTCCTGGTGGGTTATGAACTCGGCCTCATCTCTGGGGCACTTCTGCAGATAAGAACCGAATTAGCCCTGACCTGCCATGAGCAGGAAATGGTTGTGAGCGCCCTACTCATCGGGGCTTTTTTGGCTTCTCTCACCGGAGGGGTCCTGATAGACAAATGTGGAAGAAGAGCTGCTATTATCTTGTCGTCCTGTCTCCTTGGACTAGGAAGCTTAATCCTTATCCTCCATCTATCGTATACGATTCTCATCGTGGGACGCATCGCTCTCGGCATCTCCATTTCCCTCTCTTCGATCGCCACCTGTGTTTACATCGCAGAGATTGCCCCCCAGCACAGAAGAGGTCTTCTGGTGTCACTGAATGAACTTATGATTGTCATTGGCATTCTTTTTGCCTATGTCTCCAATTACGCATTTGCCAATGTTTCCCACGGCTGGAAATATATGTTCGGTCTTGTTATTCCCTTGGGAGTTGTGCAAGCAATTGCAATGTACTTCCTTCCTCCAAGCCCTCGGTTTCTGGTGATGAAAGGGAAGGAAGAAGCTGCTAGCAAGGTTCTTGGAAGGTTAAGAGCGATCTCAGACACAACTGAGGAACTCACAGCGATAAAATCTTCCCTTAAAGATGAATATCAGTATCGTTTTTGGGATCTGTTTCGATCAAAGGACAACATGAGAACCCGAATCATGATAGGCCTAACGTTGGTGTTTTTTGTACAAATTACTGGGCAGCCAAACATATTATTCTATGCATCAACTGTCTTGAAATCAGTTGGCTTTCAAAGCAATGAGGCAGCGAGCCTAGCCTCTACTGGGGTTGGGGTTGTCAAGGTCATCAGCACTATCCCAGCCAGTCTTCTTGTAGACCACATTGGGAGCAAAACTTTCCTCTGCATAGGCTCCTCTGTGATGGCGGCTTCGTTGATGACCATGGGCATAGTGAATCTCAACATCCACATGAACTTCACCAATATCTGCAGAAGCCACAGTCCTATCAACCTGTCCTTGGATGAGTCTGTCTTTTACGGACTGGGAAATCTCTCAACCAATAACAGCAGTCTTGGAGAACCCTTTAAAGGGATCACTTCTCATGGTTGGAGCTCCCTAACGCCCATGAGAAATGATGTGAATAAGAAAGAAGAGATGACTCTGACATCTTTACCAAATGCCGGACTAAGCCAAACTGGATACCAAATAGTCACAGACCCAGGAGAAGTTCCAGTTTTTTTGAAATGGCTCTCCTTAGCCAGCTTGCTTGCTTATGTTGCTGCTTTTTCAATTGGTCTAGGACCAAGTAAGTATTTTATTTTATATTTCTTACTTCACTCTCTCTGTAAATGTTAATGTATTGCTTTGGGCTTCTCAGGGCATCCTGGGCATATAACTACTAGAAGCAAGACAAGGATAATAGTGACTACCTGGTGTTTCTGCTAATATGGAAACTATGCTTGTGAAAAGTACGGGGTAATATTCAATCTAAAGATAGTCTCCTCATTATCTTTAACTCCAACCAATTGATGATGAACCTGACTTTGAATGATATTTACTATGCAAGAGAGTATGTTGTTTCATAAAAGCAAAGTTTCTTGGAGTAACATTTTCCTTCAAATCATTTCTGAGTTACTTCATACATGAAAGAAAATATTAATCAAGTGTTTAGATTTTTCTAAAGGATACAAGAGTGGATGCATTTCATTAAAAATGAAGAGAATGATTAGTTGGTACATTTTATTCAGTAGACTAACCTCCCTGAGCACTCTACTCTTGTCCATTAAACAGGAGAACGGGAGTCTAGTTACTCTCATTCAAAACAATATGAATAAGTCACAGACAGCTAGTCACAAGGCTGTTTTGTTTTTTATAACCAGACTATGCCCACACAAGGTTGCAATAAGCCTCTTGTGCAAACTCTCCTGGAGGAGGATTTAGTAGAATAGGTTATTTGTTGAAATGCTTTCGTCTTTGTCTCATATCCGGGAGTCCTGGTGTGGCACTGTGGGTTAATGTGCCAGACAGCAAAGCCGTTTGAACTGCAAGGTCGCTGGTTCAAGCTCACCAGCTGCTCCTCGGAAACCCTATATAGGGTCGCTATGGGTTGGAACCGACTTGACGGCACTTTACAACAACAACAAAGTCTACACCTTTCTGAAGTAAGGTTGCCATAGATCTCTTAAACATTTTTCAAGGAAAAAGAAATCATGCTTAAAAAACTTGGGTAGTTTCTCTCTCTTTCTTTGCTTTTCTCCTCTTACACTCTTCCTCCTCTCTCTCTTGCTTAGAGTTGGTGTTGAAACTTATTTACAAGGATCAAGGTATCAAACAAATGTACTCATATAAAAGGCAGTATTATAGGGTCAAGAATAATGTATAATGTATTGAGGGAGAAGGAATCTCATTAATAAAAATTAAGTTTCCCATGCCAGGGAGCTAGACAGTGTTTCTGGAAAAAAACATTACTTTAGAGCTCACTCAACAACAGGAGTTTATAAAATCTCACTCTGGTGATCCACAGCTAACTCATTCACTATTCAAGTGGCACATATTGAGTAGATTATTTTTTAATAACCAGAAGCTATGCTAAATGTTGGGGAAACAACATTTGAAATGAGAATAGTATTGTTTCTGTCCTAAAGAAAACTATAGTGGAATGAACTGAGCTACATACACCTACTGCATTGCTTTGTTCTGGTCAGCAACCTGCAACTTCATCCTGCTTAAACCTTAGTTAATGTATAACTGGACCTGTACCGGGCCAATATGCCCTCTCTAGCACCAAATCTCAATCCTATCATTCAGCTTCTACTCCTACTTCTACGTGAATTCAGTCCCTAAATATTGATTCATTCACATTCCAGGGAGAGAGAGAAAAAGAAAGAGAATATGTGATTGACGCTGCTCTTGATTATGCCAAGTCATAGGTTGTTGTTCAGGTCTACCTCAGTACAATCAGACTGTGGCAAGATAGGATTACATGATCCAAATCATGGATGACTAGAAGCTGACCTTTCATCTGGTCAGTATATTTTCCCCAAAGTAACAGGTGGCTAACTAGAGTAAACACTTCCCATTGAGTCATTTCTGTCTCACAGGGACCCTACCAACAACACAGCAAAACACTTCCCGGTCCTTCACCATCTTCATAATGGTTGTTACATTTGAGTCCATTGTTGCTGCCACTATGTCAATCCATCTCCTTGGGGGGTTTCTTCTTTTTCACTGACCTTCTGCTTTACCAAGCATGAAGTCCTTTTCCAAGGACTGGTCCCTCTTGATAGCATGTCCAAAGTACCTGAGATGAAGTCTCGCCATCTTGCTTCCCAGGAGCATTTTGGCTGCACCTTTTCCAAGACAAGGTTTGTTTGTTCTTCTGACTGTTTATTATATATTCAATATTCTTCACTAACACCATAATTCAAATGCATAAATTCTTCTTTGATCATCTTTTTTCATTGTCCAACTTTCCCACTCATATGTTGTTGTTGTTGTTAAGTGCTGTCAAGTCGATTCTGACCCATAGCGACCCTATAGAGGGTTTCCTAGGAGCAGCTGGTGAGCTTGAACCACCAACCTTGCAGTTCAAACGGCTTTGCAGTCTGGCACATTAACCAGAGCACCACACCAGGACTCCATATGAAGTGGCTGAAAATACCATACTTAGATCAAGCACACCCTTGGTCTTCAAAGTGACATCTTTGCCTTTTACACTCTAAAGAGGTCTTTTGCCACATATTTACCCAATTCAAATTGACTTCTTGACTGCTGCTTCCATGAGTGCTGATTGTGGAGCCAGGTAAAATTAAATCTTTGATAACTTCAATGGTTTCTCTTTTTATGATGATGTTATTTATTGATCTGATTGTTTTCTTTACACTGAGTTGTAATCCAGATGGAAGGCTGTATCCTTTGATCTTCATCAATGAGTGCTTTAAGTCCTCTTCATTTTGAGCCAGCATGGTTGTGCCATATGCATATCAAAAGTTGTTAATGAATCTTCCACCAATCCTGATGCCTCATACTTCTTCATATAGTCCAACTTCTCAGACTATTTGCTCAGCATAGATTGAATCAATGTCATGAAGAGATACCACCTACCCCTCAGTATCCTCTTGTTCTGTTTGAATGACTGCTTCTTGGGCTATGTACAGGTTTCACATGAGCACCAATGAAATGTTCTGGAATTTTCATGCTTCACAATGTTAGTCATAATTTGTTATGATCAAACAGTCAAATACCTTTGCATACATTAACATTACAATGCCATAAGGATGGTACATGGACAGATAGAGTAAGCATCATAACATCACACATTTCTAAGCACTCTGAATTACTCTTGAACCATTACCTTGCTTCTTAAGACTGTTGTTGTTGTTGAGTGCAGTCAAGTTGGTTCCAATTCATAACCCCTGTATAGGGTTTCCAAGAAGCAGCTGATTAGTTTGAACTGACAGCATTGTGGTTCACACTGAACTTGCAGTCCAATACTTATCCTACAGTGCCATACCAGAACTCATCTTACGATTAAAAAATGGCAAATATTAACGAACTGTTTCCTAGAAGTATATTTCTACCAACATGAGATCGTTTTCTAGTGATTGGTTTTTCTTAATAATATATCCAAAATAAGCAAGTCTGAGTCTTGCCACACTAGCTGCTGAAGAGCATTCTGGTACTTTGAAGACTGATTCTTTTGTTGTTCTGGCAGGCCGCAGTATATTCAGTATTCTTCACTAAAACCACAATTAAAATGCCTTAGTTGTCCTTCTGTTTTCTTTTTTCATTGTCCAGGCTTTACATGCATATGAGACAGTTGAGAAGCCATAACTTGGGTCAGGCACACATTAGTCATTAAAGTGACATCCCTGCTTTATAAAGCTTTAAAGAGCTCTTTGAGCAGATTTGTACAATTAAGAATTGTTGCTGTTGTTAAGAGTTATTGAGTCAGTTCAGACTCATAGCAACCCTACATCAGGTTTGCAGGGAGGGACTGGTGGGTTTGAATACCAATCTTGAGATTCAAACTGACCCAGTTTGTGGCCCAGTGCTTTTCTGTAGCGCCACACCAGGACTCCAGTGCACGAATAGACAGTCCCATACTGATCTTGGTAGTAAATGGTAACTATTTTAATTCACCTCTCTTCATGGGTATACATTTGAAGTAAGAGTAGATTAAAACAGTGTGTATTGTTCATTCCTATCAGACTATTAAATGATTTTACTCAAGATGCATTATAGAGCCTAGTTTGTCTCTCCTCTGCTCATCTGTCTGTCACTTTGTCATACTATGGAGGCTTGTGGTTTTCTGTGATACTGGACGGTAAATACCAGTATGTTCACCCATGGTAGACAGGTTTCAAGAGAGCTTCCAGACTAAAAGAGACTAGGAAAGTGGAGATGCGGATCACTGAAAACTTTAGGAATAACAGTAGAACATTGTTTGATAAAGTGCCAGAAAATTAGCTCCTTATGTTGAAAGGCACTCAAAATACAAATGGGGAAGAACTGCCTTCTCAAAGGAGAATTGAGCTTAATTATGTAGAAGGAGCATAGCTTTCAAGATTTTCATTTGCTAATGGGGCATAACTCCTAATGAAAGAAACAATTGCAAGCATTCATTATGAATCAGAACATGGAGTGTAGGAAGTATGAGTCTAGGAAAATAGGAAGTCTTTTAAAATGAAATGGAGTGCGTACAGATCAATATCCTAGGCATTAGTGAGCTGAAATGGACTGGTATTGACCATTTTGAATGAGATAATTATATGGTTTATTGTGCCAGGAAGGACATACTCAAGAAGAATGGCATCACATACTTCAGAATAAAAGAGCATTTCAAGACCTAGCTGTGATAGAATAATGTCCATCGGCCTGTAAGGAAGACCTGCTAATACTATCATTACTCATGCTTCAACCATTGAAGCCAATGAAGATGAAATTGAAGAATTCTATCAACTTCTTCAGTCTGAAATTGAACAACCATGCAGTCAGGATGCATTGATGAATACTAGTTATTGGAACATGAAAGGTGGTCACAAGAGGAATATATAGCCTTGGTGATAGAATGATGCTGAGATTGCTTGATAGAATTTTGCAAGACCCACAACTTACTCACTGCAAACATCTGTTTTCAACAAGATAAAAGGCAAATATACACATGGACCTCACCAGATAGAATACACAGCAATCAAATTGACTACATCTGTGGGAAGAGACAATGGAGAAACTAAACATCATCATACAAAACATGGCCAGGGACAGACTGGATTTTGCTTTTATGCAAGTTCAGGTTAAAGCTGA